TTTTCTTATGTGTGCTCTGTTTTGCTATCGACAAGCCGAGATTCACGTGGCGCGCTTACCGGAGTCTTCCTGACTCAGCAAAAAAAAAACAGCGAGGTTGTTTTAAGAGACTCTGCTACCGATTGAAAGGGGTGTATGTACAGCTGGAAGTGGCAGCTTTTGCTGGAGGTCAGCATGGACTGAGGTGGTAAGCTGGAATCACGCTTACGCCCACGGCAGTTTAAAACAGCCATGGTTTTACAGATAAGACACGTGGCCAGAAAAACATAAAGATTTACAGTAAAATCAGACTTGGATAAAGAAAAACCTCTAAAGGTTTACAGTGTGTTTAAAAATATATGTGAGACTGAGAGAGAAACTGAAACGACAAAGTGGTAAATAAATACAAAAGCCGGCGTTGTGGTGGCGCACGCCGGTAGGATTGCTCCAGAGGCAGAGGCAGGCAGGTTTCCAAAGAGAAACCCTGTCTCAGAGAAAAATAAATAAAAGTGAAAGAAATAAAGTAATAATAGATAAATAAATAAGCCACGTAAAGATGGAAAATACACAGAGAGTCTGGATACTGTACGCTATTGTGTTTTTCAGTTTTTTGCTTGCTCAGGAAGGAACTGCTGCTAAAGTACACTTGATTATAAATGCTGCTGAATTAATCCAACTTCTATCTTTTAAAAATGCCTTGACTTCAAAATTTAAGTGTAAGGATATGTTACTTGGAAAAGGAGTTTTTATTTATGTTTCTACAGAAAATGAAAAGCTAAGGATTCCTTCCAGGCTTTTGTGGTTTGACGAACCAAGACCCCCGGAAGCAGTGGACCAGGTGTTCCAACAATCGAAACAGCGAAGATGATGCAGTCTTACAGACCCCGAAAATATGGACTTATACAGGTTTCTGAGTTTTGTCATGATCTCCATGGTATAAACAGCGCCCCCTTCCAGCAGGAAGCAGTTTGGAATGAGCGACGTCCCAATTCCCATCTTGTTTATAAATCTTTGTTTTCATTTAAATGGGATTGTTTATAATTGGCTAATGATCACAGCCAATCTCCTTTTAATGGTAAAAAAGGGGAATTATGGTATGGGCATTGTTTTTAATTTATTGATACAAATTCAATGTCAATTTTGTGATGCTTATATTTCTCCTCTTGATTAAGTATTGTGCTTATACTGATCTTTTAAAATGTAATGCATAATTGAATACAGACTATAGATAGTTACTTATAATAGTCAGAATTTATAGTTAGGTACAGACTATAGATAGTTACTTATAATAGTCAGAATTTATAGTTAGGTTAGTTAGGTTTTCTAGATATACAGAAATATATTTGAGATGGACAGTCTTCAAACCTCTCAAAGACCTTCAGAACATGGCATTTAAAATGGTTTAGGGTTTTTCTTGACAATGAGAAATGTCTGCTCCTGGAAGCACCAATTACGTCTGAGAGGAAGATGGGCATCGAAGAAACTTGTTATGGAGTTTGCTTTCAACATGGCAAGATTAGCCATTTGGGCAAGAAACTGCTCTTGCCTAGACTGTTTGACTATTGTTGTATAATCTGGGCATGCAGGGCCCATAGGGATGTGACTGCTGAACTCAGTCTTACAGGGTTCCTGCTGCATGAAAGAGTCTACGGGACTTTCTGCAGGACACAGAAAAATGACTGACAGACTGCTGATGCAGATGGACAGTTTGAAATTTCCTGCTTTGCTGAGAAGTGTTCCAGATACATTGTGGCCTATGGGCTGAAGATGGATGCCCCAACGTTACAGAGGAACTTCGGGTGACTGTCCAGGCAGTAAGATATCTCTGTCAATCCTAGTGTTTATATATTATCCTTCTGTGGTCTTTGATAGAGTTGAAGACAGATAGCTATAATTATAGTTTACCTTAGTTATGATAAGAGATAAGCTACATATAGGACTTTGGATTCACAAGAAAGAGGTAGATGATATTTTCTTTAAATCTTGCTAAAATATTGTAACTATGTTCTTATTTGATAACTGTTCTGTTATATACAATTTGACTATGTTAAAATTAAGACCTTTCTTTTGTTTAAACAGAAAAGAGGAGATGTTGGGGAAGTCCTGTTATTTGTCAATAAAGTACTGTTGAGCCTATAGAAAACCTAGATAGGAGGGACTAGGAGTCGAGGAGGATTCTGGGAATGGGAAACACAAGAGAGTCAACATGTAACGCCATTGGGGGTAGGAAGCTTGGAACTATTCTCCAGTAAGAGACATACTTAGATTAACAATTATGGGGTAATTACTTAAGGCAGAGCTAGCCAGTAAGAGACAAGCAAGGCCAACAGCTTCATAATTAATATAGCCTCCTGTGTATTTATTTGGGACTGATGTGGATCTGGAACCAGGCTGGCGCGGCAGAGCCCAGGCGACTGGCAGGGGATAAACCAAAGCGGCTAGCAAAAGAAAAAGCTTCTCTTAACAGGTGTTCTTGTGGGACTCCTAAGAGTGGGAGTAGGGACTGTCTCTGACTCTGTTGCCTGCTTCTGGGACCCCTTTTCTCATACTGGGCCACCTTGCCAAGTCTTACTGCAACTTGATCTGCCATGCTTGGTATACATGGGAAGCCCGCCCTTTTCTGGAGAGAAATGGAGTTGGAATGGATGGGGGATGGGCAGAGGGGAGGTGGGGGGAGGGGCTGAGAGGAGAGGAGTACAGGGAGAGATTTTACATATCCATAGTGATAACCACTCCCCATGTGGGTGTGTTTACAGATACATAGAACATTTGGGGGATAAATAGAGCAAGGGGGAGGAGACTCTTGCTCTTTGGGTTTCTGTTTGGACCTGGAGAGCAGAGTGGGGACCTTTGGTTCTCGCCTTTGTTGGCTTTTCAAGTAAGTGATTTCTCTTTCAATAAAATATCATAGTCATCCTTATTTTGTGTAGTTTAATATTTCTGCATTAGAGGAAGGATGTAAAAAAGTACAATAAAAATGGTTGCATTCTTTCTAAACAAATAGTATTTGAATGCTAGAATTTGTCTTAAAGTGTTAACCTAAGAACAATATAAATCTTTACAAATTCATTTTATTTAAGAGTTCAGAGCCCTGCATAGTGGCACCGGTGTTTAATCCCAACTCTTGGGAGGCAGAGACAGGCAGAGCTCTGTGAATTTAAGGCCAGCGTAGGGTACATAGTGAGTTCTAGGACAGCCAAAGCTACATAGTGAGGCTCTGTCTTGACAACAAAAAGAGTTCCGATTTGGTTCTGAACTGGCTCCTCACCAGTTACTGGAGTAGAAGAATATTTGCAGTGATGACAGTTGTGTGAGACCTCGGCAATCCCCAGATGAGCAGCTCTTTACCACCCGGGTTTCCATCAGCAGTCTCCTCCAGGGTGCATTTAGTTTTCACTCCTAATAGTGGGTAAACACTCACATCCCTCCCACCAAAATGCTCACAGCCTTCTGGGTTACATCTGATCCACTCTTTAGCTTTCAAATATTCTATGACAGTTTAACTATTTCTAGAGACCTGAGCACCAGATGTGAGCCCACTATTCCCTTAGACACCACTATACCTGGATTGTCTGTTTTCTAATTTTTCTATACGTCTGTGTAGCTCCTATGTTGTGACAGGGCAAGACAGTACAGAGATTCCTCCATCTTGTATTCTCGATAAGGCCATTTCATGTTTAACTAGAATTTGATCTCCTTGATGGAGAATCATATGGAAAATTACCCAATTCTATTCTAGGACCCGAGGGCCAAGATGCCTCAGCTAATTTATCTTAACATGCCTGATTGTGCAGACCTCCCGCTTCAGTGGCAGATGAGGCTTTTGCCTTTAGAAGTGTAGAGGCAAAAAAGGTCTTGTCCCATCTATTCCTCAGAGGGGGTAAGGCCATCTTTGGAGAGTCAACAAAGTCTAGCATACCAAAATTGAGGGAGAACTGAGGTACCCCCCATATAAAGGCTGAGCAAGGTATCCCACCATAGGGAACGAGCTCCAAAAAGTCAGTTCATGCACCTAGGATAGGTCCTCTCCCCCGTCCCCCCCAACACACAGATCAAGCCACATAACTGTCACCCATGCAGGTTCCCCAACTGTCAGTCCAGAGTTCATAAGCAATTTTCCCCATCATGGTCTTGACCCCTTCCCTCTTTGATTAATGATCCCTCTTCTCTCTCTTCAACTGAACTGCAGGAGCTCAGCCCAGTCCTTAGTTGTGGTCATTGCATCTGCTTCGATTAGTTACTGGATGTAGTAAAACCAACTCTTCTGAATGATGTCACTTGTGCTTTACAACAATCTAACTGACCTCTTTGTTATCTTAGGGCCAGGCTAATCCTGTCACCCACAGGTGTTATGTTTGTCCCAGTCAAGCCCCCTAGACCCTAAATCTTGAGCACTATCTCTGAGTTGACAGTACCCACTCTTGAGAAAGAAGTCAGACATACTTTGTAAAGAATCTCAATGTAAACATGTCTGAAACTGTGTACTTGGGACTGAGTTAATTGTTATCTGAGTACCTTTTCCCCAAATTGTGCTGTGCTTAAATATGACTAAAGGAAAATGATCTGGGTCAGACTCTAGAAGTCCTGGTCTAGTGCAGGTTAAAGTAAAATCAGGCTGAGCAGAGTTTCATCCTTTGTGGATCATTTTCTCTTGCCTGCTGTAAAGCCTGCAGGGGAAGGACCGCATAAAAGCATGTTCATGGCTATACTTCAGTCCTGGGTAGTCTCCGACAGCTGGAATAAAGACTTTCAGATATCTACCCACTGTCTGAGTGGTCATCTCTGGTGGACTCCCCACAACAATGTGATATTAATGCAATCAATAAAAAATACTGTTTGGTGCTAACACAGTTACATTAACTGAATGTATCTATCTACAGAGATGCTATGAGATTTGCAATATAAATAATTTATTTATGTCAGTTTGTTGAGAAAATTCCATGATAATGTCTGATAGACTAGTTTCCCCCACAGACAGACATAAGTGACACATTGATTCCAGGGAAGAACGTTTTACTCACCCACTATGCTTCATGTGTGGTGGTTTATCCATGCGCACTGCCAATTTGATCTTTAAGTCAGAGTCCTGACTGTTCTTGGGAACTATCATTCGATGTAATTCCGCTGACTTGGAGCTATTAGAAGTTGGGTATAATACCACCTGTAAGCAACAACAACACCAAAAAGAAAATCTCTGAGTACATGATACAGGGTGCCTAGGAATTGGAACTAAAAGTTTCTGTAAGCATTTGCCTATTGGAAAAGAAGGTGTCAACACCCAAGTATGTCTGATAGACCACTGTATGGATTTTCCATACATATTATTTGTTTTTGACAAGTATGTGCTTTCCTATTATCACATAATGAGTTTCTTTCTCTGTCACTTCATAATGAGTTACTAGCACAATAGGTGACATTTGTGCTGACAGCTGAAAAATGCTTAATGGACACCTATAATTTCAACACTATTCCAAACAACTCAGGGCACAGAAGTTCAGGGAAAAAATCTTTGAAATTACAGAAGCAAACACCAAAAAAGGAAAACCAATTATTGAAGCTGTGCAGATATGTCTTGTATTTTAATGTCTTCCTTATAAAATTGTATTAAAGAAAATCAACTCAATGACAGGTGGAAAAGAATGCTCATAACATGTTTTCAGTTCTAGATCAATACCAAAGACTATCTTCCTGACTGCTTCTTGTCAGAATTATCAAGATGACATTATAATTGAAGCAACATCCTATTTTAGTCCAAATATCAAATTAACTGGTGATTATTTCATATTGCCTCACTTTGCCAAGCCAACTTAGGAAAGAGATGCCTGCTCCTCTGATGTTCCCTGCCATTTCCGTGAAATCACTGTTTCCCCTTCACAGAATTTTGACTTCTTCAAAATGGAACCTTATCCAAGCTTTAGTAGTTATGCTACAATAGAGGGACTATAGTCTGAAAGACAAAACCGGATGCAAGGTACGGCACACCAAGAGTCATCTGTACCCCTAAGTCATCAAGAAATGTCCATGAACCCGACACTTATATATGAAGTGAAGAATCATAAACATGGTCAGATATATGAAGATATTTTCAAAGCAAGACCAAAAGGTGTCTTGCACTCTCCAAAGATACTTTTTATCCTACATGTAAATGGATGTATTGAGGAAAAATCTGTGACTAAGGCTTTCCTTTTCTCTAGCAAACACAGCATAGCCATAAAATGTCTCAAACCATTATCACCTTGCAATTTTGCAATGATACACACTATGCTGAGTCTTTGCTCAAGGCTATCCTAAAGGCCCTGTTAAGTTCAGGGTATCTACAGACTCTGATGTATAAATGACATTCAAGGAGAAGCTAAATGGCATTCTAGATGTTTTCCGAAGGATGAACACAATGTAGAAATTCATTCATTTGGACTGTTTGAAGTCAGTGAGATACTAAACAGTTCATTTCTTAAATAGCAGTAGAGTTAAAAAATGTGGGTAACTTTTGGTTCAAATCAGTAGACAACGAAATATTATCAACTAAAAGGAGATTAAAAACTCAAAGACTAAAACAAAGCATCATTGTAATATCCCTAGCATGTGTGGAAAACGTTTCCTATGTTCCTTCTCTTCTTTTCTTAAAACACTAATTTGGTACAAGCTACCTATAAACCTTATTAATTCTTCCTTCTGTGTTTATTGAAAAGTATCCCAATTTAAATTTGTCCATAAAGGAAGTAAATACTGTAAGAATTTGTGAGTTTTTTATACTCTAAAAGTTCCATACATTATAAACCAAGGTCTCAAAATAACTGCTTACAGTGAAACCAGAGATTAGAGATCAACCACAAATTAAGTACGACCATTTCAGGCACATTTTTGTTGTTGTTTTGTTTTTTCACTGGGCACTTGCAACTGAAGCCAGCAGGAAGATTACTGCTCAGCTTGATCTTCACCGAGTAACGTTGGTCCCACTTGTGAGGACACAGAGATGTGTAAGAATGTGGGTGGCTTAGCCACATCAGGAAGCCTTTGATCCTCAGAAATCCCAGCACCATTAACATCACTTTCCCCTACTGCTGTTCTGCCCCTACATCAGGCAGTCAGCTACTGATTTTGTTAATGCTGTGACATATTTGTCGCCATCAGTTTGACTTTTTTGTTCTGTCATTAAAAAAATAAAAGGAATTTGCTTGTGTTGCATCCCCTCCCGGTTCTGTTTGTTAACCAAGCTATGCTTTCCTTATTGACTTGCCTTAGCTCTTTTGTCAAAAAATAAATTGTCCAGAGGGCTGGTGGTGTAGTTCAGTAGTAGAGTCCCTGTAAAGCATGGGGAAAGCCTGGGATTTCATTCCCAGCTCCACACAAAAAAAATAATAATTATGACAAAAATAAACACAGCTGAGTATGTTGGCTCATGCCTGTAACACCAGTATTTACAAGGCAGAAGCAGAAGAATCATGTACAAGCTGGAGGTCAGTCAGGACTACATAATGAATTTCAGGCCAGACATATCTACACAGCAAGGCTTTTTCTCAAAAACAAAAAACAATACAAACAAAACTAAAACCACATAAATGACAATAAATAAAAGAAGCTCATTCTGAACTCACGGTTCTGTTATCAATCCACATTCCTTTCCTTTAGGGGTGCCTACCCTTTTAATTTCAAAGCCCAGACATGGTTTTTGTTTTTCTGGAGCAATGGTCAGGTAAAGGAATAAAGACTGTGATGCATAAAAAAAATGTAGTAATACAGATAGGGAATATGTGTTCCTAAGAGAACTACCTTGGCAAATTGGCTCTGAATTGTCAAAACTGTTCTGCAAATAGTCCTTGGGTTCCTAAACTGAATCAAAAGAAAGGTGTTCCTTTGTGGGACTTGGTTATTAATATTTGCAAGGAAGGGGCTCCCATGGTGCGGAGAACTCTGAGGGCCACGAGGAATATAGCGCAGAGCGTTTTTTTCCAATCCGTAGCACCAGTCTAATCGAGAGGATGTGGCCACTTCCAGTAGAAGCAGTCTTCAAAGAGCCTGCTGGCTGGATGTCGTTACTGCTCCTGGACTGGCGCATCTTATTATTCCATCCTTCAAAGAGGAAAACTATGGCTTCCTTCCTTTGTTATTCTTGGGACAGATTAGAGGAAGAGAGGATAGAGTGGCAGCAAGGACTTCTTCATAGGTTAATAGGCATCCAACACTGCAAGCAGACCCTATGCAGCCTCAGACAGGATGTAATGAAGAGACGGGACTCTATGCAGTTCCCATGTGTGCACTCCACGCAGTGGAAATCAATGTTTACTGCGTGGGGTGGGGGTGGAGGGGAGTGCTGCTAATGGAACATTTGGTGTTAGAGGCCAATGCATTGCTGACCTGATAACTCCACTGGCATCCATGCTTTCATTAGTGAAGAACGACTGTTAGAGAGCATAGAGCCAGCCTGAGAGCCATGCTTCCTGGTTTCTTTTGCATCCGAGTGTCAAAGTTCTAGCTAATGACATGGGCAAAGAGTGCAACATGTCACACGCTGAGGTGAAATGATTAAGGTAGAGATGTAGTTTCCTTAGTCTTTGCTGGCCAGATGCACAGAAAACACTGATGGCTACGGGGAGTGAGAAGGACCAAAATGAGAAAACTAGAGCCCTGAATGACCATGTGGAAGAAAGGCATACCACTGTCTGAGTACAGAAATGTTTCATTTGCTTGTTACGACACTCAGTTGGATTGTGAGTATTAGGGCAATGGTCTGCTTTGTGAAACGTTCCCTGTATTAGGTGCTTACAGAACTGCTTTTCCTGATAACTTAACTCAAATTCAATTGTGTTTAGTTCAGACACAAGGAGGCATGCCTAATGTTGGCCATCATAATAACCAAAATATTTAACAGATATAAAAATGTTCATTCCTCTGTATTCTAAATACACACCTAAATTAAATTGTGGCCCCCATACAAAACTTCACTTACATACACTTTTGTTCTTTGCTATTTATTTCTTTTAACCTCTCTTCATATATGCATTACTGCTTCTAGGGTATTTTTGCCACTAACACTTTAAATGTCTTGCCAGTTAACACGACACAAAAATGTTATGATGTCTTATCTTAAAGAAGACATCTTATGATATCTTCTTCACACACTAAAAAGGGCAAAATGACTTGCAATTTTCCTTAAAATGTGCTTAAGAATACAAGATTTTTTAAAGCTTAAAAACTGTCAAATATAATACACACGACAAAAATCAAATGTCATAAACATGCATTGCAGTAATATAGGGCTCATAAGGATATTTCTCTTAGAATTCACTAACATGGTCCCTTTTTCTTCTATACAGATATCTTGATGAAAGACAAGAGCCACACCAAGTGCATCTGTCTATCTCTTTAATGAAACTTTCTGACCAGAACACACACACACACACACACACACACACACACACACACACACACACACACACACACACACCAGGACACACGTACATACACACACCACTAAATGAAAGACAGAGATGTTAGATAAACAATTACTATCATTTCCCAGCATTTCTTCATAGACACTTCTGTTTGATGTGGGAGTCTAAAAGAACATAGGATTTACAATAGAGACACAGGTGGGAGATGAGAAGTCAAGGTGGACTATGTTGGAACTCAAGACTTAACAGTGGGGCCTTGGCAAAGGCCCATTACTCTGATGCCAACATTCTTACCAAGGCCATAGGGTCCATGCTCTTCCTAAAGTTGGTTGTTCAGATGTTCCCTTACTATCTGGACATAGTCTCAGCATCCATAGATTGTCATAAAGATAATTTCAACCAGTGCATAGATACTCATTGCTTCTTATGCCATGCTAAATCACCTTGTACCCTCGGAAATCAAGGAGAAGCAACTATGGAACACCATTATTTTTGAGACAGAGTCTCCTGTATCCCAATTTGGCCTCAAACCAATAATTATGACACTGAAGTTCTTCTCTGTCTTCTACCATCTTCCCAGTGCTGGGATTACAGGTATACCCACTTTAAACCATACTGGAGACATTGTACATGTTATTCAAGCAGTCTATCAGGTGAGCTATAACCCAAGCCTCATCATTTTTTTTAAGAATTAGGAAAACCAGGACTTAATAATTGAAGCCAGAAGCCAAGGATTTATAAGAAAATCCAGAGTGTGGGGCTGGAGTGT